GGGTCTCTCCTGGACCACAGGGCCATCCCTGAGATGCTGGGGTGTCTTCTCCCCTCCTGCCCTTCTCCCGCTCTGCCCTCGGGGCTCGCAGGGCTGTTCCTCACCCGGTTGCCCTCCCTCAGCCCTGGCTGCCGGGCAGCATTTTGCCCTCCCTTGCCCAGGCTTTCCCCGGGGCTCTCTCCCGCCTGCCTGTGGCTGAGGGGCTCAGCCGTGCCCTGCGCTGGGGCCGCTGGAGCCGCTGGAACCGGCGGTGTCCTGGCTGGGGAGCCCCGACCGTCCCACACAGGGACACCCCGGCACAGCCCCCAGTGCTGCTGCTGCTGCCCCAGCCGCCAGCACCTGGACACCTGCACTCAGAGCATCCTGCTCTTCCTAAAGAGAACAGACCTCAGTTTTCAGTACTGGCAATATGAAAACAGACGTTGCTTTGGAAAAATCCAAGGAGATGGGCTGATTATTGTTGACTATAGCTAATGTGATGCATTGATGTGTAGGCAATGGAGATGGTTAAAAAGCAGGAGAAGGTTATTTTACTGGGAGATGGGTTGTTTGTATTTTGTTTACCCAGGATAATTATTTACGTAAAGCTCAGTGAAATACTGGAAAATACACTTCTCAACAATGGAAGTGCTGTTCAGTTTTTTAAAAGGTGATCAAGCACTAGAACAGGTTGCTCAAGGAAGTAGTTGAGTCACCACCCCTGAAAGTATTTTAAAAGCATGTAAATGTGGCACTTAGGGACATGGTTAAGTGGTGGATTCGGCAGTGTTGGGTTAACAGTTGGACCCAATGATCTTAGTTAGAGGTCTTTTCCAACCTAAATGTTTATATGATTCTATGATTCTAAAAGCAGAAAAATGTGTCTTACCTTAGGCAAGTTTCAAATGTGTTTCCAGATATTTCAAGCAGGTAATATCCTTGACAGTATTTAATTGGCAGCAGTTCTGACAAATGAAATTTAGGATTTATTTGATAACAGGATTCAGCCTCCACTTTTCTCAGCTGAGAATATAGATGCCATATATTCATGCCTGTGATATCTGTAGATCCTTAAAGCCCCTTCTCAGACACAGAAACCTCATCATATGAACATTTTCTTATCCTGCTTAGCTGTAGACACATCACTACCTATGACAGAAGTTACCTTAATCTAATTTTGATACAGTAACTGGCTGTATTTCTGGTCAGTCACGAACAAGAACAAGCAACCAAGTCAGATACTGCTCCTGGAAGTGGTGGCAGTCAGTTCCTTTATCTGGAATTAATGAAAACTGTTATTCTACTGAATAAATTCAAGAAGACCTTGTAAACTCTTGCACTTGAAGGGTCTTGAAAATGGTCTTGAAACAACATTTGGGCAAGTACGACAGTAAAGTGGTACTATGTCAGTCAGTTTTGATTATATTCACTGAGATGGACAGGGCTTTGTTTCAGCCCTCCAACAAAGCTAGGATAGCAGGTGGCTTAAAACAACACACCATATCAGTCAGATGCAATATTCCTGAGAACCTACAATCTATGCCCAGGTCCACTAGTACTCTTATATTAGTGGAACTTAGAAGAATAAATCACACCATTAAAATACAATTATGAATATGTGATTTGTACTTAATGTTAATTTAGTGAATTAGGCTCTTTTAAACATGCATATTTCATTTGTCTGACTCATTAACCCTAAACTAAATTTTCAAAATATAATCTCTCAATAAGTTTAAACATCAGCCATGACTTATTAGAAAGATGCTCAGTTTCTGAATTAAAAGCCCTCTCCGAGGTACTAGCAACATTTAGCTGAACTTGTGCTTTGAAATGTTCTACAGTAGATCATATTCACATTGTGAGAAAATTGGTACATACTTCCACTAAGGAGCACAGGAATTAATCCTCAACATTTCATCTGACTGACATGAAATTCTATGCTCATGAGTCTGCTATGTTCCTTGCAGCATTTCATAGGTACTTATTCTTGATCTACATTCATGACCTACTGAGTTCCATTCCGTTAACATTTTTGCTCCTTTTTTTCCTTAGACTGTCTGAGTCTCTCCCTGTATTGCTGTTCCTCGTGTCCTTCTGTCAATCTTCATTTCATATTTTTCATGAGCTGTATCCACAAGCTGATGAACAGAGCTTAGAGAAACTTCAAAATACAGTCAGAGGAATGAACATTAATGCTTTGTTCTCATGGATTAAAGGGTAACATTTGAGAACAGGAACCGTAAACAAAGTGTCACATGAAAAGGAGCAGAAATGAAGGATTTTCTGTCCCACCCATATTAATATATTTTTGTCTATTAGTGTCCCCCTCCCGGGAGTTCAAAGCCTTTAAAGTCCGAAAACAGTCAGTCAGCGTCTTCTTAAGCGGAGACCCTTTGCTTGACATATTCACTGAGATGGACAGGACTTTTGATATTCTATTTGTGGAGACTGCACTTAATAGCAATGGAGAACCTTCTCAGTAAGTTTCTCCTACGAGTTATTCCACTGACAATGAGCCTGCTAGCATTGAAAAAAAAAAAAATAAAACCAAACAAAAAAATGGACTAACTCTTAGCAGCTCACGAAATAACTTTTATTAATACAAATATGTGACAACTTATAGGGTTCATGTTGTCAGTGATAACGATTAACTGCAAAATTCCACTTAACTAATAAAATCTCAAACCAGAAGTACGCTCTCAAAAAACAACTAAACTTCCTAAGAAGAAATAGATCACTATAACACCTTAATACAAAACTCAAGCAACCCCCCTCCACAACATACCAATTTACAAAGACATTAGTATAGTCTATAAAGTGTAGGGAAAATTAGTATCTATAAGGTAAAGCAAAGTATAATTAATATCCATAGGGTAAAAGAGAAGGCAAGATATAAGGAAAGGTGAAAGCAAAGTAAAACAAGCAAAGTACAATTAGTCTATAAGGTAGAGATAAAACATATATAAGGCAAGATGTAAGGATGCAATGTAAGGATGCAAAGTACGACTAGTAAAGGTGAAAGCAAAGTAAAATATAAAAATGGTTGCTTATCCTGCAGCGTCCTAAGGAGTGGAAGGAGAAAAGGAAGCTCCTCAGTTATGCACACAGAAATGATGGAACTTCTCTCCAATTTTTGCTCATGTCTGATCTCTTTTTATACTTTTTTTCTTAGGCAATTTGAGTGACTACAGTTAATAAACTAATTTTTGGGATGATAGACAGATGACATAGGCCTCAGGGTCAGTTTCCTGAGTTCCCATCAGGTAGGATGTTTATGAAGTAAAGGCCATATCATTCCATCCTTCCTTGATCCTATCAATCTGTTACTGGGAAGTTTCCCCCAGGTGCTGGGGTGCTGAAGCCATCAGGAGTCTCTTTGTCCCTTTTTGTGTAGCCTTATCACCTTACAATGGGTTTTTGGGAATGCTCCCTCCAGGTGCCAGAGTCTTTACCAGTAACCGCTCAGGACTGTCAGTGTAGCCTTAAATTGGTCTATCACCTTACACAAAGTCATGAGGGTGGTCTACTAAATTGATTATGATGTTTTAAAAATGATGTCTTTATCAAAATCCGTTAACAAAAATTCAACGGTAACCTCTTTATTTTCGTCAGTGCACCAATGAAATCACTGATGAATCCACCCATTCCTGCTTGTCCTACAGCCAAGTATGTTTGAATCAGATCTAGAGGCAGGTTCCCTGAACTCTGGTGATGGCCATGTTACAGAATCACTGTGTTAGTTTCAGCTTCATCCCTTAGGAATCATTCAAGTAACCATTATGTTAAGCAGCACTCCCTTCTTGAGCTAGTCTTTTTTATTATATTAGCTGATTATAGATGTGAACCTAAATGGCAGAACTGAAGACAAATGGATTTTCCAGCATGCTTCATTAAAATGCAGTTCATTCAAATGTCTTGCAAGGATGTCAAATAGGTAAAAACATGTAAGATAGGCAAATCAAAACTGATTATAAGAGCTGCTGAAGAAATCAGAGTAAGATAAAAGTTGACATGAAAGGTTAATTTAAGCAGTAAGACTCTTTAAGGCCATTGGTCTTGAATGCTTGTGTAAATTCACTGTGCTAAAATAATCTAATAATTGGTTTTCAACTTGCTGCAGTCTGGCCTCTAGTTTATGCAGACATTGTGAAAATTGCCTTTAGGTAGCTCGGATACCAATCAAAATATCTCTGGATGTCAGCTCAGGATGGAGCACAAAGCCATTGAATAAATTGTCAAAAATGGTGTAGCTAAACTATGATGATATCAAGTGCATGCAGCCAAACTGCACAGAACCAGAGACTGGAATTTGGAATAGTAACATAGTCATCGAGCAATGTCTCCTTCTTTCCATGTACCTGAGCCTTAGTGAGAGAAAGTCTAGTCACTTCATGAGGTGAGCACAGAAGGCACAGCTCCTGAGTGACACAGCAGTGGTTGGAAAGCATATCTTACTTGCCATGCTGCTTGATGAATTAGATCTATTAAACCCAACAGAACTAATCAATATATAATCTTGCTAGTATAAAAATAGTTTAGCTATTTCCATATAGATTAAGCCTTTCACTGTATTGTGGACATATTCTAATTTATTCAGTGATGATAGTAGTAGCAGATGTGTTATATTTGTAAAGTTCCTTGCACAATCCCACTGCTGTAGAAATGTTTTGTTACAACAACTGTGAAGTGGGTTTTTGTGTTTGGTTTTTTTTCATTCCGAAGTTTATTTATACTTTGATATGGTTTTTCTTTAAGAATATTGTCTCTCTGAGTGGCTTTGATATAAGCAGAACATGTGGAATGGATGTTAGATAATAACAAAAAGAATTACATTGCTGTGATGGACAGAAGCCAGGAAATATTCTGTTTTAATGAATGTTCTTGGTTTGAGTCAAGAAATTGTGCTTTATTATATTACTTTATTATATTATATGGAATTTTCAGAGTAAAAACACAGTAACAGATCTTTAATCCATAGAATTTACAGTCTAAACAGTCAAGAAAAAATGTTATGCTTATATGTTATAGAACATTTCTACTTGAAATACCAAGGCTGCAGAAAAATTCATATTCCTTAAGTAAATACTCTAGAACAAGTACTTTCTTAAATATAAATGCTAATTTTGAAACCTCGATCCCTTTGAATTCAGTAGCAAAGCTCCTCCGGGTATCAATGGGTCCAGAACTTTGTTCTGATACCATTTTTCCATTGCTTTTGGAGTCCTTCTGCACTTTCTAAAATTCAAAGTTTATATTTGTTCTCTCTTCACTCTCTTCTATAGTGTCACCATTTAAGTACTGCTGTGTGGTACAGAATGAATGTCAAGTGCTCCCCATTTATAAGGGATATAGATTTGAAGTGCTAATATGCCAGCTATTGACATTTCTAAAGAATACTGCTGATTGATATTGCAGCCCAGAAGCATCTTTTAAACACTAGAGCAAAGGGTATATATCAACAGTAGCAGTACTCAAACATAAAGTTTTGACAGCATGGGACAACAGAGACTACTCCTCCTTCAAGTCATGGAAAATTCAGTTTTAAACCTAAGGGTAAATAAGACCTCTGAAGAGTTACTGTTCCTTAGATTTTAATTTCTTTCATACTTCGTCCTTTTTTCTACCTCCAGGCAAACATCATCACCACCTTACAAATTCTGCTCCAGTTATATTGACCCCTAGCTTTCTGTATTTGCTAGTCTATTGATACTTTTCTGAATTACTGTCTTGTTGACCTTGTCCTTAAAGGCAGACAAAATCCAAAGAAATCATCAAATCGAATCAGCAGAACTATGGATAATAATAAAGAGAATGAAGTTAACTACAGCTGATTGCTTCTTGCTGCTACACTGAGCAGACTGCTTCATTGCTCCACACCTCCTAACCGTAGGACACATATCTGAAAATTGCAGATAAGATTATTGCAATAATTTTTTCCTAATCCTGTTTCCTTTGTTCCTATGATGAACTGCCTGGATGCAGCACCTGCCATTACAGACAACCATGTCATATAATCCATTTCATAAACTTATCAAGTATCATTTTAAAAGTCCTTAGGCCTCTTGATCCTGCTGTTGCTATTTTACTCAAAACACACAGCTTTTTGTTAGAATTCATCTTTTATTTCTCATCCTTATTTAATTTACAGCCAGCTGTTACCCATTTGATCTCTTGCCCAATATTTTATGTTGGTAAATAAGGTGAAATGATAAGCACAAAGTAGAAAAATAAGCTATTTTAATTAAGAAGAGCCAGAACCATTCTATTCCTATTGCCTTATACCAAAGCCTGCTCCTTGAAAACCTGTCCATTCTTTTTGTGGGGTACTGGGATTAGCCTATGCATATCACTGTGTTTTTTGACATTGATTTTTAAAGTGTAACCTGTAGAAACACACGTGACAAGAATCACACTTTATATATTAAATCATCTTATTGACTTCTGAAGGAGAACTATTCTTGTTCTAAAGGAATAAACACACTTAGATTTTCTTGAATCATTTCTTACTTTTTCATGGCATTTTTGATATCTTTTAATAGTGTGTTAGTTTTAACAACAGCTGGAAATTAAACTCCAAATAAGCTACTCCCTTTACCCCATCCCTTCTGGTAAGAGAGGGACAAAAGCACAGACTATGGGTTGAGATAACAATTTACTGAAAGCACAAAGCAATGGAATAAGACACGCACCCTAAAACAGCAGTATTAATAGCAAAAGTATACAAAAAGAGGAAGTGTTTTAACAACAAAAAAATGTACATCACTGGGAACAAAACCAAGATGGTGGACACTCCCTGTAAGTTGCATTCACATGGCTTCACCGGAGAAAGGCAACGTGGTGACTGTTCTACTGCACCGCATGTCTGTCAGGAAAAAAGGCAAGAAGGCAGTGGGAGCTACTGTGGCTAATGTTTCCCACCCCCCATCCCAAAAAACAACAAAAAACAATGACAAACAAGTCCCTCAAAAGCTAAGTCATCCAAGTTGAGGCACACCGCTGCTCCACTGGGCTCAGTTCCACTCAGGTGCCTGCACTGCTGTTTCTACGACTCTGCTGTGCTATTGATCTAGCAGTATGGTTGATTCATGTTTTTGTCCTTTCCTTTTCAGCACCATGTCCTGTAACTGCATTGCCGAGAAAATGAGAGGGGGACTGGCAGTGGTGACAGGGGGATCGAGTCTGCAGGAGTTGATCTTGACAGTCCCCCTGCTGGAGAAAGGGAGGCAAAACGGTGCATGTCCTGTGGGGCACCCAGCTTTTCCTCTGGAAACCATGTTATCCAGTGAGGATGTGGGTGGTACAGAAAGTCAACCCGGTCACGCCCACACAGCACTAAGCTCCACCGTGTCTCTGCAATCAGGACAAAAAGAGAAATTGTTCCCTAGGTTTAAGTATATTGCATTTCATTTATACAGTTGAATTTCATCTCTTTTCTGTTACTTACCTCTTTGAGACTGTTTCATTAGCAACCTCACTCTGAGTTGATGCTTTCATTCAGTAAAACCTGCTACAATCTTCTTTTTTTTCTGTCAACTTCATAGGTTTCTCCTATCCCTCTTCTCATTTAAGAATAACTTTTTATTCATCATTGTGTCGAATACTTTATGGAAGTTCTGAAAGATAAGATGACAGTGAAACAGTCCATCTTCTCTGAGAGAGAAGTAAGGTCAATCTAATACTATTTTGCAAAAGCGTATCACACACACATCTAGCCTTTTCCATTTGATTTAATTCCTACAATAATTATTTCCTTTAAGATTTATTTTAATTGAATAGCCAAGGTCATTCTGAAAGTCCTGTAGCTGCCTCAGTCATTTTCTTTCCTTCCCTTTTAAATAACATGATTACTGAATATTGATGCACATTTTTTTTTTCTTCAAGCCCCTATTTATTCTATACTGGTTTGTCAAAAAAAAAAATAATTATCACTACTCTCTAGAATAGAATAGAATAGAATCATTTAGGTTGGAAAATACCTCTAAGATCATTGAGCCCAATCATTAACCAAGCACTGTGGCAGTAAATCTGCGTTATATGGGAAAACTGTTGTTTAAACATGTCTTAAAATGGCTTTTGGTGGTCTCTTTGCAAACATATGCTTCTTCTTCCCAACACCCCCCACGACAAGTGTTATCCCATGCAGGAATGTCCTGAGAAGATATCCTGAGGTGTTCTCATTGGCCCCTTTTAACCCCTTCCTACTGGTTGTTAACCCCTTCCTGGGGCCTCTAGTGGTCTAGTGGTTAGGGTGCAGGACTCTCACCGCTGCGACCCCGGTTCGATTCCCAGC